TTTTATTATTTGTAGATTAGTATAGATTATTGCTAGAATTATCAGTGAATTACAATTATTTTTTTTCAAGTTTTTGAGATTGAGATTTGTACTTAGTTGAGTTGTTTTTAGTAAATTTGTATATACAAAGTTAGAAATTTTGGATTATTATGTTTGAGGTTAAGGTTGAGATTAATATTGAAATTGATGTTTAAATATCTATGGTTATTGAAGTATAGTCATATTTATGTTGAGTTTTTATGGTTGTCAATTTGTTATTTATTTCAAATTAGCTTTATTAAGAAATTGATATTGAGATTAATTGAGATGTGCATTATTATTGAACTAAAATGATATTTATATTGAATTTTTATATATCAAATACATTATAAAATTATGAAAAGAATTTACTTGATTGATAAATATTGATTTTTTAATTAATTAATTGATTGAGTAGAGAATTATGATTATTTGCTTTAATTGTGGAGTAAATTATAATTAATTACATTGTTAGTTAAATCATAATTAATTATAATGATTATAGTTGTTTGATTAATTAAATTATAATTACATATTTAATTACTAAGTAAACTATGATTAATTTAATTAATTAATTGATTATAAAATTATTATGTGCTAAATAGATAATCAAGATTATTTTTAAAGCAAAATGAACAGTCAAGATTACTTTGAGAGTAAAATGGATAGTCAATCTTACTTTTACAGCCAAATGGACAATCAACCAAACTTTGACAGCCAAATGGATAGTCAATCCTATTTTGATAGTCAAATGGACAATCAACCTTATTTTGATAGCCAAATGGACAGTCAACCCTATTTTGACAGCCAATTGGACAGTCAACCATACATTGATAGCCAATATGATGGTATAATTTCTTTTTCCTTTTTCCTCTCATAATTTTTTATTTTATGTTGGTGCATACCATTTACTAACATATTACTTAATTTTATGTTAATTTATATAGGAATTGTTGAGAATACTCTTGAATCATTATGGGATTGTCCATCTCGAAGTCCTCCAAGGAAAAAGTTGACAAAAAGCACAATATGATGGTATAATTTCTTTTTCCTTTTCCCTCATATAATTTTTTATTTCATGTTGATGCATACCATTTACTAACATATTAATTTTATGTTAATTTACATAGAAATTGTTGAGGATACTCCTGAATCATTATGGGATTGTCCATCTCGGAGTCCTTTAAAGAAGAAGTTGACAACATCAAGGAATCATATTGCAATCCCCCAAGACATTCCATTGCCTAAAAATGAAGACAATGTTGTTTGCCAAATATGTGATATTTCTGGACATGTTGCTACTATATGCCCGCAACGATATAAAGTAACTTGTCAACTGTGTAACCGTGAGGGTTATACTGCAAAAGTTTGCCCAAATCGCTACCGATCAGAAAGCACGTCAGACCCATCCTCTACACCTACTGAGTCTTCTGAAACTATTACAAAGATTTTTGCTAATGGTCATCTTAAATTTACAAAAAAGTCTTGGGATGAAGCATGTAAAAAATTACGTTCCATTCAAGAACCGTAGTTTTTTTACCTTACTTACCTGTATTCTGCAATGTATTTTCTAATTTCCCTTATCCATGTATGATATTAGGACATAATGTTTTAATGTGTATTCTATCTCATGACACTTTAATTATGATATTAGGTTATCTTTTTATATTTATATGTTTCAATTATATGTTTTTATATATATTTAGAATATAGAGCTAATTAAGTGGTAAAAATTTTATATAATATTATTTATATAAATTGTAGATCAAAAGTTTGAAACAATTAAGTAAAAAAGAAGAGAAAACAGAAAAAAGTAAGAACTAGAGCAATAAGCAGAATACTTAACTATCTATTTTGGTCAAAACATTTGATAAAAAAAAAAAAAAAAGACAATCCAATATCCCATTCTCGAAGAAAAAAAAATATTTTCACTGTGGTTAAACACTATAGTCAACAAAATGACTGTCGATGATAATGAATTGTCGATTATATTTGGAGATTGAGGGGTCAGGTGACCATAGTTATAATTGGTGGCTTTTCTGTCGATAATATATACATAATCGATAGAGATTTGGCTGTCGGTAATGTTTTTTATTATATTCAGCAGCATTGTTGACGCTTAAATTCAAAACGACGTCGTTTTTTACACTGTTGTATCACCGTCAGCTTTGGCTGTCGATTATGCTGGGTTATACCCCACCTCCCTTGACTCCTCGCTCGCTTTCCTTATTTTTTTTTGTTTTTCCTCCCCGATCTGCTTTCTTCTCCAGCTAGGTTAGCTTTTCTTGTTCATGCTGCCGTAAATGGCTGACCCACGCACGTCCTGGATTCCAAATCCCCATGCCATAGACGGTAATTTTCCAGCTTTCTTGGTAGATTTTGATGGTGGTTATCCTTGGATCTACAGTGCGTATTCCATGTTCTTCTTGTAGATCTGAGCCCCAAAAGCATACTCCAATGGCTGCACATCACAACATCGGCCAGACAAATTGTTAACTACCGCTGCCGTTGCTGCCTTGCCTGGAAATCGCCCACGTAATACACGGTTAGTTTACCCACCGAAATTTTTTTCCCCTTGATTTTGATCCATATGAGAATGTAGAAATAGAGATAAATTAGATGAGAAACTGCAGAGAATTGAATAGTATCCAATGTGAAGGGTTGCGTGGAAATAGATTTAGTGCGGGAGGGCTTCAAGAATCTGATGCTCTTTGTGGAGGTGGGGTCTAAAAATTGTAAGAATTGTCATAGATTCTTTGGACATCTCTTTGCAAAAGATACTACCTTCTTGTGTCTTTGTAGCATATGGAAAATTCGAAACAATGATGTTTGATTTAATATTTTTGTTAAATTTTTTTTTTTTTTGAACTTAAGAAATTTTTTGAAATGAAAAGTGGCGTCTGAGTATTGAATTCAGAACATAATATCTTAACATTTTTCATCAAAGGAGTGATAATTAAACCATTTAGTGTTAGACTTGTTTAAAGTTTTTTTTTTAGAATAGTTTGTTACCATGTGTTGGGCCTTTTGTAGAATAGGTTCTTATCATGATGAGCTACGATGGTGACGGATTAGGGGAAATTTTTGGGGGAAAATGTCTAGAGAAAGAATAGATGATCTAATTTAACAGCAAACATAAAGCATGTGGCCCCACTAATCCTAGCTACATTACATTGAACAAAATGGATAGAGTATAGGAACTACGTTTAGTGCTATTAGAGAAGAAAAGGGACGACATTGAACAACTTGTTAGTAAGAGGATGGACATGAATAAAATTTGGAAGTAGAAAGACACAATTGGCTTACCCATTATATTAAGTACTTGAACCAACAAATTAAATACTTTAATTACTAACTTGAAACCTATGTACACACCTTTAAATTTTAACAAATTTTCCAGATTTGCTGTTGGAATATGGATGTGCATATTCTTTTATTTGTAAAAGCTAGAAACAAAAACATGGGATAAAAAGTTGGGGTAAAGCCAGAACTTTACTAGTACATAAATGATTGAGGCATGTCCATACCAATAATTGAAATCAATAATTCAACAATATTTTCTTATCAAAAAAATTAAAATAATCTTCCAAAAAATATTATTTAATTTTAAAGAATATTAATCTTATCTTCATGAATTGAATTTGTCTTCTCCAACACATTTTTTTCTCTTTTCTTTTTGGCTTTTTGCATTTTTGTTTTGATCCAAAAAAATACAGTTTTAACTTCAACCATGAAATATTAGGCTGAGTTAAACGAAAATGAATCCTGAAACCATTATGCATTCAATATTAATTTAGATTAACCCTTTTGAATTAACATTTATTAATGGACAATTAAACTTCAAATTTAATTTTTGAATAATTAAACAGAAATAAAATAAAAAGTCAGAAAACAAAAAAAACCCATATAGTTCTTGAAAGAAATTGTATTTAAATTAATTATTACCTGGAGTTCCTGGCAGATTTGTCTTCTTCTTAACAGGTAATGGAGTAGAGTTGGAACCGTTGCTTTTAGTTCTGATCAAAGACGACGAGTTCAAGCCATGAAAATGATCACTTAGTTTTGTAACTTGTTCTTGTTTTTGTTGTGGTTGATTGTGAACTTCTTCTATTCCAATAGGAAAGCTTCCAGCCGGTGTAATTAACATTTTTGAGGAAGAGGAGTAAAAAAAGTGGTAAATGAAAAAGGAAAGATCTTTTATTGAACCCTTTTGTCTTTCTTTCTCTTCCTTGTTTCCAAAAGACTCTCTGGTTTTCTTCTTCCTCTCTCTCTCTCTTACTATAATTTCTTTGGTTTCTTGCTCTGGGATGCTCTCAAAAATATGAAGAGTTTAGAAGGAATAGTTATCTTTAAATGAAAATAATAGAAAGGGGATGAGAAAAACAGAGGAGCAGGGAAGTTGGGATTTTGTTGTGACTAAAGCAATACAAAAACCAGGAAATTCTCCTTTATTGCTGGTGAAGAGAAGAGAGTAGGGGGAGGAACACAAGACAAGAACTTGGACTTCTTTTGTGGTTTTATATTATGACTAAATAGATGACTATTGTTTCCTCAAAAATCCTCAGTCGGCCTTTACCACGTGAGTTGGATGTTAGGCATGCCACTTGCTTTGTCTAAAAACAAGAAAATAGGATTTTCCAGACGACCCTTCTCCTCTCTAGCGGTCGACCTCCAATAAGATGGCTGGAAAGAACATCTGTGAAATGAATTGCGCCCCAGACGATGTTGCAAAACAGAGGGTAGAGTTCTGCAAAATGGGTTACTAATTGCCTTGGAAACCTCCAAGGACTTCACAACCAAACATGTGTAATAAAAGCTACAAATCCTAAAATAAATGCAATATCCTAAAGCAATTAAACTAACATGAAGTAAAGAACAGAAAATAACATGCCATGAAGATTAAATTCGCAGACAACAGAAAAAGTAAAATAACAAACAATGATTTGAACTACGCAGCCCATAATAATTAACTAAAACTAAAGAAGAAACTATGAAATGATTAAAGTCTGAAAACTTATAGAATCAAATCTGGAAATTGAAATTAAATAAACTGAATGTCTGGATATTGTGCAGAAACAAAAGAACAAAGGTAGAAAACATTCAACCTATTTACATGAATGAATAACATAATTAAATCCATAAAAAGAAGAAGAACTAACCGAATCAAAAGGGCAGACCTGTTTTGAAGGCTAAGTTGCTTCCAAATACTTAAAAATAAATCTAAATTGGAATTTGCGGAAGGAAATATGAACAAAGATGAACAAACCTAGGCTAAGGCTATGAACTAATCTGGAAAATCTGGGAAATTTGGAAACTATTGCTGAAATATGGAAAATGCAGTCTGAAAGCTGAAAAACATGCTTTGGGCAGTCTCTGTGTGTGTTGGGTAGGCCGATAACTGATCTCTCCTTCTGGTTTTTCTTTGCTTCGGTGCTATCACCCTCCCTCCATGATTTCCGGTATTGTTCCTCCATGATCTGGTAGTGGGGTTGCAGGTTTGGCAGTTACTTGACAGTTATCCAATGATTTTTATTTAACCTTATCTCCAATAACCTTAAAGATAACCACCTAAAAACCCTCAATTTCCCATTTTAAATCAAACTTAAATCACCAGATCTAATCTTATCTTCTGCCAACCAAGATCCAACCTCCTTGACAATCCGTCTGGGCCATTAAATTGTAAGTCAGCCCAGCCCAAATCCAGCCTATTGATTTTCTTGATAATTGGGCTTTACCTTGACATGTGGCCTTACCCTATTGGTTTATTTTAGGTGTAAACAATGCCCCCCAACACTTGGTTTTATGGGAATAAATCCAAGTGTTTAAATTTTAAATTACCTTTCAGACTCCAAAGGCCACGTGCAAAATCTGCTAAATCTCAAGATGATTGCAGCAAGTATTCCCAACTTTTTCACAGCTGACTCTGTCTGACCGCATCCAGCCATCCACAGCCAGTCATGGCCGCTCAATCAAACTTGCTCTCATTTTGGAAAAAACACATGAAAGCAAATCAACTTATTTATGGACAGACAGAGGTATGAACCTGGCTCAGACAGCTTCTTGGGACTCTAAGCCTCTTGCCTCCTAGACTGTGGGGTAATAAGGCTTGAGATAAATTCCATTGATTTTTCTGGGATGAAGCTCTCCATCAAGTGACTTCAACCAATAAGCACCCCCTCTCAACACTTCATGAATTCGGAATGGTCCTTCCCAATTTGGAGACCATTTCCCAAATCTGTGATCTTTCTTGCCAAGAGGTAAAATTGCTTTCCAGACCAAGTCACCAACTACCAGATTTTTACCTTTTACCCTCTTGTTGTAAGACTTTGCAACTTTGAGTTTTTGGGCTTGCAATCTATCCAAAGCTGTCAAATGTGAATCTTCAAGGTCCTCAAGCTCAAGCATCATGGCCTCATCATATTCTCCAGACTGGGGATTATGCTGAATCATCACTCTTAAAGACCTGGCTGTTAGCTCCATTGGCAAGACTGCGTCATGGCCATATGTCAAGGCAAAAGGTGTCACTTTGGTTGAACTCCTTTGTGAAGTTCTATAAGCCCACAGTGTTTCAGACAATAATTCATGCCAGCGTCTGGGATTGTCATCTACCATTTTTTCAAGCAAATTAATCACCACCTTGTTAGAAGCCTCCGCCTGCCCATTAGCTTGTGCATAATGAGGAGTAGAATTTAACAAACGGAAACCCATTTCCTTTGCAAATGCCTCCACCTGATGACTAACAAAAACTGTGCCTTGGTCTGTTGTAATTGTTTCTGGCA